GCAGATATTTTGGTCTTCCTTCCATTTGTTTTTGTCAACTTTTTTATGGTGTTTGAATCTCTGGGTCTTTTAAAAGCTCATTCTCGTATTATATATATATTTTTTTCTTTAGCTTGTCTCCAGGGGCGTAACTGGATATTTGGGTGATCTAGGTCCCATGAGGATATTCTCTCTCTCTCTCTCTGACCATCTGCCTTTTACCTTTCGCCTCCTCTCTCCCATTTTCTTTCATTTACTCGCTCTGCTGCCTCCACTTCCTCCCATTTTTTTTTACATTGATTTTCCCTCCCACTTCCATCTTATCCTTCATAAACTCGCTCACCTTCTTCGCTCGATTAACCCTTTCCCTCTCTTTCCCCTTCCCTTTCCCTTTTTACTCTTTTAAGTCCCCTCTATTTCCTCTTCCTTTTTTAAAGCCCCCCTCCCCCCTTCCCTTTCTTGCTCTCGCACAATCTTCTCCCCTTCCTTTCCCGTTACCCTCCTACCTTCCTACCTTCCTTCATGACCTTCCCTCTCGAAGAGTCGTATAAATAATAAATGTACATAAACTGACGCTCCAATTACGTTAGTACGGTATACTTGCCTCGAAGAAGAAGAAAACTGCTGCTGCTGCTGTTAATGATGATAACAACAACAATAATAATAATAACAATAATAACAATAATGATGATGGTGATCATGATACTATTAATATTAATAAGAACAACAATAGTAAGTGATAACAATAGTGATAATAAGAAACAATATAAGAGAATAAGACCCTCATAGGTTCGTAGAGCGAGCGCACACGCGGCTGTGATTCGAGTTGTGAACTATTACCCCATTTTACACTAAAATGGATCCACAGTTACATCGAGTAACAATATAAGAAAAATATATGATCTAAACCGAAATAAATATTTCGTTTCACCACTTCATATTATTTAGCATTGGCCCACAGGTAATGCGCACTCCCAGCTCACTATCATCATAGTCTACTCTGACTAGGGAATCCCTCTTTTTATCTAGCGACTACACAGTCATCCGTTCAAGTTTATATTTATAATTCATTTTATTAATTTAGTTTGGTAAATCTCCGATTTCTTTCTTGCATGTCAGGCATCATTCAGTGCCCCTCCATTGGGGTCCGGAGGCGAAAATCCTTCCGCCAGCCTCCTTCTCCTTCTTTGCTACCTTACTAATTATTAATCATTCCTTCAGTGATTAGGGTATTTCATAATTTTTGTCTGAATGTGCATGCACTTTGGGAAAGTCTTTGCATCTCTCCATTTTAACTGCTTCATTTTTGTTCTCTTAAATTTAGATGGGAATATTCAATATTAATCCCTTTCTTAAATATGTTGTCCCCTTTAGTTATTTCAATATTATTGTCCCTGTAGTTATTCAATATTATTATTAAAGGTACTTTGGTATCTATATAATAATATCCTTTCCTTATCTCCAGTAATCAAGAAAGGGACTAATTATACTTCATTATACTTTGGAACTTCTTGTAGTCTGATTCACTTGAGACTTAATATTCTTGCCTTACTAAGGTTACACATACTTCCGAAGTTGAGAGTGTCATTGTGTGATCGTTCTCCATTGACGGTTACTAGTATTATTATCAAGTTTGAGATAGGTCCATAAAGTGAACAGATATTATTCTTTTTAAACTGAAGACTCTTCATTATGGGGTTCCTGTGTTGCACCTAAACTGTCCTGTGGCCTAGTATCAACAAGTATCCTACTGCACATCAGGATTACATACCCTTTGGGATGTCTCTTGACTTGAATTGCAAGGAATCTTAACCGATTTATTTTCTGATTTTATTATTTCTTTAAAATCCTGCTGTACCAACCACTAAGGCCAAACTTTATGTCATGAATAAGATGATGGTGCTAACCCATATCCATCTGGCCACTAAGCTTGTGGTTATACATACTACATGCTAAATAGTATACTATATATCATTCTTATTACACATATATCATGTTTAATAGTTAATGGTTAAGAAGTAAAATAAATGGGCTAGACATCAAAAGTCATGTACCACTATAGGAAAGCACTTTATCAAAAAGGATAAAGAGGGAGGTGCTAAGGATAAGGTGCTACATGTCAACAGTCATAAAGCTTTAGGATGGTACTGGAGAGGGTAAAGATGGGTGAATGTTGAGAGGATGAGTAAATGGGTCCAGGTAGGAATAAGCAAAGTGGGATTTAGATCAAGTGAAGGATATGTATGCATATGAGGATGGAGAACAAGTTGTAAAAGGATAAAGTATGGGATTCTGTTAGGATGTCTAACAGGTTGGGAGCTCGGGGAAGGGAATATAGGTGAGGGAAAGCAGAGGTATGGGCTGCAGTATAGTATGGACAGGACAATAGAATGAGTAGAACTGAAAGAGGAACATTACACAGGGAACACAAGAGTGGATAGGAATAGGGCATTAGATAGGAGTGGATAAGGCAAGCGTGGCCAATGCGCAAGCGGACAAGAGATTGTGAAGTGTCTGTTCTGATGAAATGGGGCTGGCCAGGAGGAGATTAATAGTGTTACAGTGTGTAATTTATTGGTGAGAAGACTTGACCAGAAAGATTGCTGACAGGCACAAAGGAAGGTCTTAAATTGGAGATACACATATCATATATGTATAATAAGAATACTCCCTTGAGGTTTCCAACCATCACTCCCTAAAATTATACATTTGTTAATAATACTATTACTAATAGAATTACTTCCATTAATGACAAGTAAGTCATTAATCATTTACTTAAGTTACTTCATCAGTAATATAAGAATTATAAAAAGTCCTGCATAACGAGGTCTCATCCTACTGTGGTAATATCTGTTCATCACCCAGAGATTCGTTCTCTTTTCCTTGGCTGGAATAGTTTATTTTGTTTCTTTTGTGGTGATTCTTTCAACAACAATGATTCAAACTGTATCCAAATTAAGAAATGATCTTGAATGTTTAAAAAAAATCATAATAAATCAATATTTTTTGAGTAATTTTTGTGCATTTTATTTTCTCAGGTTATGTGGCTGACAGATTATATAAAATATTTCTTTCTTCAATACTCCCTTCCATAAATTAAGTATTGCATTTCTATTTATATACCTAATTTTCTAAAATAAGAAGTCAATCTTTTTCATTTAAGCAAAAGGAGTCAATTCAGAGCTGCATTCTCAGTGTACTGTTTCTTGGAATACAGTATTATCATTAAGAACTTGAGTATAATCCTTGAGCAGTGGCAAAGAAAAAATTCAATACCTTCACCTTTATCTTCTTTTTCTGGAATTTTCATCATATCCTTAATAAAGCACAGGAAACTTTAAGGTTTGTTTTGTTATCTATGTATAATAATAAAAATAAAAATACAATATCAAATACTTTTATCATCAAACTACAGCACAAGATTATTTTCAATAGCTATAAAACTTTTTTTTCTTCTCTTTGTAAAATGTGTTTATGGCAAGTCTTTATTAGGACTTTACATATCCATTGATACATATGTATATAAAAAAATCCAAATAGCTTAGAATACAAGCCTGGTGTAGCAATGAACACAATTGATTTCTTAAGCATATCACATCTAGCCTAGTATTGTGACAATGAAAAAAATAGTATGGAAAAAAGGAAAATTACATTTAGTTTCGTACAAAAAATGAGCTTCGAGAATACATATACAGAGGAACATGTATACATGTATATCATTTATCCATTTTATCTTTACTTCTTCAACCTGTTACCCCTTCGTTGACTAAAGTGTTCTAAAATATATGTTGCATTCCTTCCTTCTGTTTCTAAGTGTAAGCTTTGTTGTATGCATGGAAAAAAAGCCTCTCTATCCATTATGATCTTTCTATGTCTTTGCTCTCTAATATCTTATCTTTTCTCCCTTGGTTAATTCCATATTTGTTCATTAATGTGCAAACTATCTCCTGCATCTCAAAACTAAAAAAGTGCAGCCTAGTTCATCTGCATCTTCCCACCCCTAATATGAACCACTCAAGAGTCAAGTTAGCTGCAATGGGGGAAATGATAAGGAAAACTCTTGACTCCTATCTTATTTACAACATGATACTTTACATATTAATATTATTCTATCCTCACAGCTGTTGGTTCTCTCCTCCCCTCCCAAAGTAAAGATTTACTTAAAGCTATGTCTACCCTTAGAGACAGGATGAACACACAAGCAATGCAAGGCCATGATAATGAAAGAAGGAAATTGTATCCAAGGAAAAAGGACATCAATTCAAGCATAGAAAAAAAATTGAAATGATGTTGGAGATATCTAAAAATTGTTCCTGCATCCCTTCCTCTCTGCCAAAGAGATTACTGTTTGTTCTAAGATGCCAAGACATGGTGAATTATTATGTTTGAAATTACAAAAGGTCGCATAGCTTTCACTTCCACTGGGAATAAATTTTTCTTCTTTTCGTCTTCGTTGCTGTCACCCCACTCGCAGGATGGCGTATGTTAAGAGTCCTGAAACACACGTTCATTGTTAGAAATGCTGTGAATACACATCTCCCCAACTAAATGTTAAAATTAAAAGAACAAAAACATTCTCAATTATTGGACAGATTGGACTTAATATTAAACTGATCATTCTGAAGTGATGAAGGGCATTTCTCTTCATCTATGGCAAAATGGATTCCCTGAACATAAGTATATAGAGGAATTACTAATGATAAAAATCAGATACTCTGAACTTCTTTCATTAGCAATGTTAAGCTACAGAAATAAGTTATATTTTATATCAACAAAAGAATATACATATATAAAAACATTATAGTGTTTATGATTTAATGGTTTAGTTGCATAAAAATATTTCATGGCACCAGCACTGACTAATCCCAATGTGAAGACTTTCAAAAAGTAAATCTGACTCTTAACCAAAATAATGCCTGTCTATACCGTTTCCTTGATTTTAAAAAATATTTTACATTATCTTATTTTGCTGTTACTTATGTCAATAACATTATATCAATCATGATGTCTATAATAAAAAT